AATAGGGAAACATTGTGATTAGGAAAAGCTCTGGCTGTAGTATACCAATGAGGGGTGTTTTAATGGCTGTGGCAGGGATTTCATCCATCAGATTGACTCTGATTACAGTGAAGCCCAGGAGAATGCTGGTCTTGAAAGTGATGCGAGTTCCACTGTTTGGAGGCAGATAGAAACTGGTGACATCCACCACCATGAAGAAGATGCTGGGGATGAGCAGACTTACCACGTACAGCAGGGGGCGCCTGCGGATCAGCACCTTCAGAGAGAGACAGAGTGGCTGGGATTGAAGAACGCTCTCTGGGTGATATTTATTTCATCACTTGCCTTCAGGAAAAGGAGCAGTCTGAAGAGGAATTACATAACAAGCTTAAGCCTTCTCCCCATTTCCTGGATTTGCGAAACCGGTCCAATTTCTCATTGTAGAGCTGAAATTGTTTTCCCACACCTCAGCTCCCCCTGAGAACCGAACCTCGCTGCCGATGAGCTATTTCCCCTCACTGCCCCTCATCTGGATCAGGAACATCCATTTCACTTTCCTTATTTAAGGATACTTAAGCTTTCACAGGACAACAAAGAGCAATTTCATACTGACTTAAACATGTTCCCCACCCATTTGCCCAATGAGTAAAAAACACAAATATGGATCTCTAAATGGCTTCGTCAATGAGCCGCAGAGCAAAGGTAATCAAAGAACACAGTCAGTTTCCATGGTGTGCCTATCTTACTGGAACAGGGTGGATTGCCCACGAGTGTGAGCTATCGGCCTATTTCTCCCACCGAACACGACGTTCATTGATCAAATGCCAGAAAGACAGTCTCATTATCATCATCCTTGCTGCGTGTTGTCTGCCGCTAAGCCTCATCTGTTAGCATTAGTGTGAGTCCGCTAACAGCCATGCAAAGGTTGGAGAAGGGTTGTGAAAGTGTGTCCGGTGTCTCCAAAATTAACATTTGTCAAACACCAAATTCAAGTCAAATTTGGCAGTGATAAGTAAATATAAAAGTGCATTGAAATATGACTTAATTTTAGAAATTAAAATAAAATAATCATTCAATTGAAATATATATTTTGAAATGATTTAAAATAATTCTATATTGTGATGTGCATTTGAGTGAAACGATTGAAAAAGAAAAAAATGTAGTCCAGAGACTTTCTTCTGTCCACCGGTTGTTGATTGAATGTGAAATTGCAGTCGACTGTAATACAATTTAAGTAGACAAAATGATTGTCTAATAATAATGACTACAAACTACAAAATCTAACTTTACCCACTCAGTACACTCATGTAAAGCGACATGCAAATCTCAACTCATTGATTGCTAATATCGTCGTAAAAAATAAACAATACCATCATCTAGCAATATATAGACCATTTCACAAGATGTAAACAACACTGGTCCAGAAACACTTCCTGTTTCAGTTTGTAACTGTTTTCTTTATTTCACATGTAAAGAAAACATCTTAAAGATGTTTATTTAACTTTTTGATTACGTTTTAAATGTTCTGTTGGTTGTATTTTATCCCAGCTTTTATGTAGTGTTAAAAAACTGAAACAGGAAGTGCTTCTGGACCAGTGTTGTTTACATCTTGTGAAATGGTCTATATAAATTTGGATATACTGTATAGTGCATACATACAGTAAACTCACATAAAGCAAAGTTATTTACATATATATCCCGACTGTGTGACTGCATATACTGTCTCAAAAATTAAACAATATTATTGCTCAGCTCTATAAATCAATTTAATATTAATTAATTTCATTTCATTAATTTATCCGCATTGTCGCACTCACGTAAAGCGATTACATTATAGCAAATCCCTCATCTCAGATACAGAATGTAAACTTTATTATCGCCCAGATCTAATGTAAAGATATTAGGATTTATTGTAGCTGCTTTGAAACAAAGTGTGTTTGAATGTCATTTTTACTGCATGAATAATCCTCACATTAAACTGAATCTGCGCGTAGTCTCTGTCCTCTAGATTCAATGTCCAGTAGTGAGAAGGGATAGACAGCAGCTCCCATTCACCATCATTCATGAACTCTCTTGTGTCACTGGCGATTTCCTCAGCAGGCCTCCATAGAGCTAAATCCACTTCACTCACTGTCAGAGAAACACATCAGCGGTTCATTACGTTATGGTAGAATTAAGTATTTATGTTGGTAGGTTTGTGAGAACCTCATTTAAAGTGTCAGCTTTTAAAAGATTTTAACCAGGGCTGATCAAAAACACTCAGTAATCACAGCAACTCTCATTATACAGAGAAAGATCAGCTTGTTTGCAAAGGAGTGAAAGCACGAGCTGTGTATGAGTAAGTCATTTACCTGAGTGGAGCCAGCTGCGAAAGGTCACAGTGCAGTTCTGCTTGTCAAAGGGAAAGGCATACATCTCCAGGTGACATGCTGAGACCACCTGGATGGGTTTGTAGTTTTTTACTGTTCCTGAGCAGTTGACATAAACATATGGGATGACTGGGGATTCGCCAACATGGACGCTGGAGAGAGAGAGAGAGGAAGACATATGATGCAATGAGAGTATAACGCGACAAAATTCATTTCCAGGAAACAAAAGGAGCTTGTGATGTGGGCAGGAGAGCTACATCTATCATGTACATACAATTCACTTATGACGACATCAGGCACCCAGATGGCATCCGAGGACAGCGATATTTCAGTGATTCCATCAAACTCTTCAGGATCCCAAACAAGAAACTCATCATTCCATATCTGAAACATTAGAGTAATGTGGTTTACTGTTACCACCTCGCCGGTCCCATGAGAAAGATTCAGATCTCTGAAACGTTTAGATTTCATGCATTCAAAAAATCTGATTATTGTGTGTGTTTCTTTGCTGGACCTGTCTCATAAAGGTAAAATTAAATGTCTTTTATGAAACTTGGTTGTTAAAAGTTAACGTAATAACATTTTCATATATACTGTATATATATATATATATATATATATATATATATATATATATATATTGGTATATTGGTATTATTCAGAATAAAAGTAAATGTCCGGGTAAAGTCAAATATCAGATGGTTTGATTTCAAGAGGTTACTGTGCTTAATTTTTTTTTTAAAGCTACCGTAAACAATGAACTTTCAGCTTTAATCTGAAAGTTTATGTTATACAACCATGATTTCATTATGAATCATTATCACTAATTAGACAAAATAATTGATACTAACTTGGCGATACCAAATGCTGGTGGTAACTTTCTGAGTCTGTCCGTCCTGTGAAAAGGTAAGCGCAAATTTACTTTATTATATTGACATGGGGAGCAAACACCTGTGCAGTACGTTTATTTAGTTAACAACTTCTAACAGTTAACACCCCTATGCATTGCATATAAAAAAACTTCACGTGATAGATGTACATGCAATATTGCTCATACGATGAGCAAGTAATACACTGTATATCTCTAAAGGTTCAAATGTACTTACCACATCCAGGACAGATTTGATTATAAGGTCAATGTAAATGGTAGTTGGTTTGGTCCAGTTCTGGACAGGCCGAACTCCCAAGTCGTATTTGCGAAGCAGTAACCTGGTGAGTTGGTTCAGAGCAGATCTTTTTGGTTTCTCTGGGACTAACTCAGCCCGTGGAATAGCTGTACAGATATGTTAATAAGTGCAGATCCTGATTAAGCTAATTATCAGTATGGATCAGCAGCATACAGAATTCAATCACATTCATTCCATAAAATTAGTACAACATTCACTAAAAGGTCAAATGTTTAATTGTATTGTATCCTTTGAATAATAAATGTTAATGCAAGCAGCTATAACTGAATGATTGTATACTTAATACAATAAAAAAAAGAAGCAGCACTGAACTTACCTGACAGTACCAATGATAACAAGAGGACAGGATTCATCCTAGCAATTCAATTCCAGGAACTTCAGAAGAAGTAAAATGCAAACTTATTCAAATCACTTTCCACAATCCTTTGTCCCAGCTTTTAAAATGTTACCCAATTACAAAGTGCTTTTTATTCCAGCAGAATGCCATGGAGCATCAGAATGGTCGTTGTACACTTGACTGCAACAAATGCACAGCAGCAACTTGCTCACCACTCAAGCAAATTGATTTTCCATTATGATGGTAAGAAGATCTGGGTTTAGTGAATTGGATGTGTTCTCTGACTGCTCAGTTTGTGGACCCTATATATACCATAGAGAATAATGGGACATGGTACATACATAATCACAATTATGCAATCAACTGTTATAAGTAAAATCGTCCAAAAACACATAATTTATTTCTTATGGATTGTAATGACATTCTTTGTCAAGTCTTTTGACAGTTATCAAATTGTTTTCATTAGGTGTTCAAAAAGTCATCCTGTCATTCTGTCAAACGCTAAACCACAAATACACATTTTTTTGCTTTTTATTATTAGTTTGGCCCTAAATGTTGTTTTATTTTTTTCCCCCAAAGTAGGCTATAGGAACAACACTAGACTGCGTGTGGAAAATTTGTGTGTGGAAAACATATACAAATTACTTTGATATTGTAAGACATTTTTGGGTAGCATTGTGTAAACATACGTAAGGTTAGGCAAAGATATGATGTCGGGTTAAGAAATATTCTTTTGGGGGGCCGACAACAACCAGGCTTTATACTAGTATAGATTTATTATTGTTTTGTAACTAAAGTAACAATATTTTCCGCAAAAAAAAATACTAGTTCATGGGCAACAGTGTCATAAATTAAACAATATTACTGAAAGTGTAAATTAAATCGATATAGGCCTAACTTAGTAGGCTAAAACTGTTAGCCTACATACATTGTGGGCATCCATTCATTTATTTACGTTGTATTTACGTTTACACCACATTACCTCTGTCTGGACGAGACTTTCATGATTAATGTGTTCATGGGTTAGATAAACGTTCACGGATTCGTTTCTGTGTACCAAGCGCGCGCACGACGATTCCCAGCACGCGCTTGAGTCAGTGAGTGTTTGTCCCGCACGGCGCTTGTGTGTGTGTGTGTGTGGGGGCATATGGAGTAGGTCACTCTCTGGAGTCAGGGCGAAGCAAACTGGAGAAATATATATATATTTATATATATAACAAGTCATTGCCATGAAAGTTGAACAGGATTTTGAACATGGGGAAACGTCTGAAAACTCGGTGAGTGTGTTGTATTTTAAAGAACATGTAGGCTAGTCAAATGGGAATAGCCAAATTGTGACAATACTTACTGAAATCTAGACACAGCAGTGACTGTCACTGTAATATTTTCTCATTTTCTGTTTTTTTAGTGGTAGACTGACTTATTAAAGTAATTTTATTTAACTAATAAAGTATGTTTATTCAAATACAATTGGGATTTCTATCCTAATTTGGAACCAATACAGAAGTATCCTAATAGGAATTTTCTTATTGTTTAATAAGAATTTAACAATAAGAACATTTTCTTATTTTACGTTTACCACTTGTTTTCTTATATGAATTTCATTTGATCTCATTAGGATTGTTTTCAGATTATGATAGAAACTTCAATAGTAATCTTGTCCAGATTGGAAAGGGTTTAATTTGAAATGTTTTAAATTAGTTTCTTTCCCTTAAATTGAGTATTTAAGCTTTAATGTTATCCTCTGAATGAATAGGAATTATTGTATGTTTTTTTTTCTTGTGTCACTCATGATAAACACAGGCGCTATCTGTGCCGAAGGCCCAAAATAGAGCTCTGAGTGCCGCTCACAGGCCTCCAGCTCACCATATATGTCTCCTGCTCCCTGCCTAGGGTGACTGGCTGCCTCCCTCCACAACCATGCTAACATTCCCACCTGCTGTCAGAGTTTCTTTATATAGTTCTGTAGCTCCTGCATCTATTGGGCCAAAGACTTTTAAAAACGTTTGGCACATGCTAAAGCCTATTTTCAGGGATACTCTTAAAAAAAATCTGATATGGATTTAATGTACAATCAATGTAGAAATTTTTCATGCAGGAGACTTTCATAAATGTTGATCAGGCCAGCTATAGACTCCTCCAACCCACGCTCATTTGACACCTGAGTCAGAGATGCGGTTATGCCGGGTGTTAAATCCAAGTGCAAATTACATCTCATATCATATTCGTGTTTTTAACTTATCAGTTCACACCTGCTCTTTTTTTTCTGGAACGGATCCTGTTATTGAGTTGTTAATTGCTCAAGTGAGTCCTGTTATCACGAACAGAAGTATTCTCAATATGCCCGTGGCAAAGCATTTTCATTTTTTGATCCACAGAATTAAAAAAACAGCATGTTTGCTTGTCTTTTTCAGAGCCAAATGCTACTTAACCAGCTCAGAGAGATTACTGGCATTCAGGATCTGCAGGTTCTCCAGAGCGCCCTGAACGTATGTTTAGCACAGAAGCACTTATCTGTGTGTTTATAACACAAGCAGCAGATGTAATATTATTGACAGGGATATTAATAGAAAATAAGCTAGACAAATGTTTATAAATATGTAAATCATACCATGTGCAAGAGTTTCCCTTACTTTCTGTGAGGGTTGGGTAACCTAGATGTGGTACTAAAATAAAGCATGTAGGTCTGATGAACTTGAACCGAACCGACTAATTGCAAGAAAACTCTTTATCTAGGCAAGTCAGGGTGACATCACCCATGCCATTGGGCTTCTGACCAGCCAGCCCACAGAGGAGGAGCACATGCCCGAAGAACCCACTAAAGCCAACAATGAGAGGAACACCTCCAATGCACAGAGTGGTGGGCTGAAAATTACTTTCATGTCATCACATTTTCCAAAGATGAATTGATGAATATACAGTAGCAGTCACAATGCCAAAATATTTATGAATGTATTTGGAATTGTTCTCAGGTTCTGCTAAAGACGATCTGCAGACCGCCATTGAGCTCAGTCTCCAGGAGTCACAGCAGGCTGAAGCAGAGCGCAGAGAGCTGCACAGGTTCATTCCTGATAGGGTAGACTGGGGCAATTGTAACATTTTTACACTTTTCTTCATAAACTCATAGACTTCTACAAATGTACTAGTCATCTCCTTTTGATATAAGAAAAATGTGCACTATCTTTTAAACTATGGGGTCTGTAAGATTTATTTTTCAAGAGATAGTAATACCTTTATTTATCCAGGACACATTAAATTGTTCAAAAGTGACATTAATAACATTTATAATGTTACAAAAGATTTATATTTCAAATAAATGCTGTTCTTTTGAACTATATATTCATCAAAGAATCCTAAAAAATAGTATATTACTAAGGGTTATGTGACACTGCTGAAAAATTCAGCTTTGCCATCACAAGATTTTTAAAATATATTCAAATTTAAAATAATTCTAATGAATTTCACCATATTAATGTTGTTAGTATGTTTTTGATCAAATTACTGCAGCCTTGGTGAACATAAAAACAGACTTTTTTTCAAAAACATTTTTAAAAAATGTTAGCGACCCCAAACTTTTGAAACGTAGTGAAAATGTCACGCACTTGTGCCAGAAGTTATAATCAACTTATAATCAAAAGGACTAGATCATATTATAATATTGAGTCAAATACTAGAAAATAGTTGATTTTAACAGTGGTTGGGGAAAATTGTAATTGTTGATTAAAATGCTGAATCTCAAACAAGAGCACTCCTTAAAGTTCTATCATTGCTTTAATACATTTTAATAGTAATAAATGATTTTCACTATTATATATTATTTTTATTTCTATTATATATTATTTCTCTTTCTGCTATACAGTATTATTATTACACTATTTTCACTATATTATATATTTTTAACGGTAACAAATTTTTTAAAAAATACCGTAAATTACCATTTTTTAATCTCTACAAATATCTATTGATCAGCTGACAAAGTCTAAAACATTTCATCAGCTTGACATTTTGATGAAGTAATGTTAAGTATGTGCTTTAAATGATTTCAGCTTTTCTATCTGTTCAGTCTTAAATTTGATTTTAATGCCATTCTACAAATGAAGTGGTGGTGATGGCGCAGTGGACAAGACACATGCCTTTGGTGTGAGAGACACCGATGTGTCCCTGAGCAAGACACTTAACCCCTAGTTGCTCCAGAGGCGTGCAACCTCTGACATATATAGCAATTGTAAGTCTCTTTGGATAAAAGTGTCAGCTAAATGAATAAATAGAGTTAGTGCTACCACCAAAATCATTTGTTAACTTTTAACCAACAACCTGAAGAATGTTTAAACTCAAAGGCATCAAAACATACAAAGACAAAGTTTAAACATCCTTAGCTTAAACTCCTTTTCCCTGGCAGAGGGAGAGAAAGAGAGAATGAACCAATTTAGAGCTTTACAATTTCCCCCTTCTCCCTTACTACAGTGATTTTTGTGAATTTAAGAATCATGGGCACAGCAATAACTATCAGACTCTAGTCTTGACTGTCTCACCCACTCCTATTTCTACTCTAGGGCTCTTGAGGCTAGTGCAGAAGAGAATGCGGCCCGCATGAAAAGGAAGAGGTGTGAGGCATCTGGAGAGAGCTGCAGCCCCGCTGACTGGATCCGACAGGAGGACTGTCCTGTGGGCATCCGTAATGTAGGAAATACCTGCTGGTTCAGTGCTGTCATTCAGGTGTGTGAGGTTTTTAACCACCAATTTTGCTATGAGTCGATAGAATAGAAACAAAATTCCAGCAAAATTAGATTGTTGTGCTAGTTTGCATATACTGTTATCTAATATAATGTATGTCAGCTAACTTTCACATGGCATATATGTTGAGTTGTAAAAGGTAATTGTGAGTTCTATACTTCATTTTAACAGACAAATTTGAAAACAAAAGCACTGCTGTAAGTGTCTGACCTGTTACTATATGATCGGATCATATCATGCGAATTACATTAGTGGTGTTGCTAATGACTGGAGAATAGAGAAGATCAGGTGGAATGTCTTTTTTTTTTTTTTTTTCCTGACTGCAGAAGTGTCTCGGAGCTGTAATTTTATTATGTCCATTACCAGACTGAATTTAGCTTCTCGGATGTCTCTGTTGAAATATAAGCCTTTACTGATATTGATAGATGTCTGAGCTAATTAAATAGAGTATTGTTTTGATGATAAAGAGAGGCATGAACTCATGGAGTGAGTTTATGGCCTTTAGATAAGTAACAAACACTCTTGTGTTAATATGTAATGTAATGCAGGTTAATGATGTCATTTTAAAACAGTCCCAGCATGGATATGAATATCTCTAGTACAAATACATTATCGTTCAAAAGTTTAGGGGCGGTAAGATTGCATTAAAATGATCAAAACAATTGTGACAGTAAAGACTTTTACATTGTTACAAAAGGTTTTTTTATCATTAAAGAATAAAAAAATGTATCATCGTTTCCACAAAAATATTAAACAGCACAGCCGTTGTCAACATTGATATTAATAAGAAATGTTACTTTTTATGAGGAAAAATGCACCCTGACCTCACAAGACAAGACTTTATTACACAGGACAACAAAATCAGCAACAACTGTAACTGTAAATTGTGTTGTAAAATGACAAATGGTCAAATAATGGAACTGTTCATGGCCTAGTGCATGCTGGGAAGAGAGCTAATGTCACCCCAATAAAATAAAATTCTCTTGTTTTTAGTCTCTATTCCATCTGCCGGTCTTCCGTAGACTGGTGCTCAACTACTGCCTGTCTGAACGTGTGCTGGAGAAATGCAAGAGTCATTCAGTGAGTAATCTGCCAGATTCTAGTCTTTGTGGAGAATTTTGGGTAACACTTCATTTCATTTGTCCACTTTAGACATTCTATTAACTGTAAGTAACTTTGCAACTACATGTCAAATTATTACTATATACTAACTACTATACTTTATACTTTAGTACTAGTACTAGTACTAGTAAACTACTTGAACCCCAAAGGCCGTTGCACACACACATTTTCGCATGTTAAAAATAAATACGACCTCACGTTATGTCAATCACGCTTGCACACTGCCTCCGAAACTTTACTCCGTCATAAAAAAATCGGTCCACTAACAGTCTTGAAACTCAAAATAGTGTTATCTGAACCAAATTAATTATCTAAGTGGATAAAGATAAAAAATTGGGATAACGAATCATTAAATATTTTTTTTACAGTGTGCACTGTATATGATCAAGTTATGCCTTATATTTTATCAATATGTTATTGCATGCTATAACTCAACTAAATAAGCCATTTTAAAACATTATTATGTTATATAGGATTCAATTCATTTTTTGTTTTAAGTTTACAGATGTTCTGTCGCTTTGGTACATTTCTAAGAACAGAATTGAAAATGCACATGGTATGATTCTCATTTTTTTGAAGTTGCAAATACTGATTGTACTTAACTTTTTTTTTTTACAGTCTACTAAAACTTTAATAAGAGTTAGTGAAATGTAGTTGCAAAGTTACTTATAGTCAGTAAAGGGTGGACTATTAAAGTGTTACCGAGTGTTGTATTGAATGTTGTGGATATATTACATGTTAAATTAAAATGTAATGTAAGTTATTGTTCTCTTTTTGTCTGCCTTGACACCAGTATTCAAATATTGCTCAGCATCAATAGCAGATCTTTTGTTGCAGGAGAAAAGAAACATTGCCTTCATGCAGGAGTTGCGTTGCCTGTTTGCTCTGATGGTGGGCTCAAACCGTAGGTTTGTAGACCCCTCTGCAGCAGTCGAGCTTCTCAGGGATGCGTTCAGAACCAGTGAGGCACAACAGGTACATCATTTGAATGATTTGATTCACAGCTGTTATGTTAGAGGCTAATTTTAAAATGAAACGGTTGCAAATGATGCACTAATAAAAGGTGTCTTGAAATGTTTAACATCCACAACAGTTTATGATGAGCTTCTTCTAAATAGAGAGTGCTGTATTCTTGGAAGTGTTTATTTTAAGTTTGCTTATTGTAGGATGTCAGTGAATTCACACACAAGTTGCTTGACTGGCTCGAAGACGCGTTCCAGCTGGCTGCTAACGGAACGTAAGTTCATAAATCATAAATAATAATAGCGTATGTACAGCAAATCATATGATATGCATTCAATATTCTGTAGTGCTGCATCCCTTTCCACGGCGTCCGTAATCCATTCCAGTTTCATAATGTTTTTTTTTTTTTTGTAGGGGTCAAAAAACACATTAAAGTAAATTGTTTTAAAATGAACATCTCATTAAGAAATGTGAATGATATTTTTGATGGGTGGAAAATTAAAATGTATTTAAATAATAGTGAGACCAAGAAAAAGCTTTTAATGGTTTATTTAAAATCATTTTATTGCCATTTTATATGCATCATGTGTTTTCAACATGAAGAAAATGTGTGTTACCCTGAGGCAACTTCTTGCTGTGGAGGGTTAATTATTAAATGGTAATGAGTGTAGCATTTGTTGAAGAGTGATGAATAATTACCCTATAGCATATTTAGTTGCTAATGTACTTGCCAGGAATTTTTTTATCCCCACAATAAAGCATGGCAGCTTTTATTTTCAGTAACCCAGAAGATAAACAAAACAACCCAATGGTCCAGCTGTTTTATGGTACATTTGTGGCTGAAAGACTTCATGAAGGTAAGATAATGACATTTCTCCTTTAGTTATTCTGTGTTTATCACTCTCATTGATTATAGTTGTGTAATTGTGTGCAGGAAAGATTGTGTCCAACATTGAGCAATTTGGACAATACCCTCTGCAAGTGAACGGCTTCAACAATTTAGACGAATGTTTGGAGGGCGCCATGGTTGAAGGAGAGATTGAATCCCTTCATTCAGATCAGACGATCTCCTCTGGCCAGGAGGTCAGTTTTTCCGCAAATATATGGACTCCAGTTATTTATTAAAATATTTTTTGGAAGTATTCACATGCTTTTTTTATGAATTCAAGTATGTCTTTTTTTTCCAGAGGTGGTTCTCCAAGCTGCCACCTGTGTTGACCTTTGAACTGTCCAGATTTGAGTTCAATCAGTCATTAGGGCGACCAGAAAAAATACACAAAAAACTGGAGTTTCCCCAAGTGATCTATATGGACAGGTTAGGATCTATCTATCTATCTATCTATCTATCTATCTATCTATCTATCTATCTATCTATCTATCTATCTATCTATCTATCTATCTATCTATCTATCTATCTATCTATCTATCTATCTATCTATCTATCTATCTATCTATCTATCCAGTCTGTCTGTCTGTCTGTCTCTCTATCTACCTTCCCATCCAATCCTATCCATCTACCCATCAATCCATCCATCTAGTCAGTCTTTCTGTCTGTCTGTCTGTCTGTCTGTCTATCTACCTACCCATCCCATCCATCCATCCATCCATCTAGTCTGTCTTTCTGTCTGTCTACCTACCTACCTTCCCATCCATCCATCCATCCATCCATCCATCCATCCATCCATCCATCTAGTCTGTCTTTCTGTCTGTCTATCTACCTACCCATCCCATCAATCTATCTACCCATCAATCCATCCATCTAGTCAGTCTTTCTGTCTGTCTACCTACCTACCTTCCCATTCCATTCATCCATCCATCCATCCATCTAGTCTGTCTTTCTGTCTGTCTGTCTATCTACCTACCCATCCAATCCCATCCCATCAATCTTATCTCCCCATCCATCCATCCATCCATCTAGTCTGTCTTTCTGTCTGTCTATCTACCTACCCATCCCATTCAATCCCATCCCATCAATCTATCTCCCCATCCATCCATTCATCCATCTAATCAAATCAATGGTAAATGGCATATTACTATTTTTTGTGTGCAGATACCTTCATAAAAATGTTGATCAGACTCATGGTAGAAGAGGAGAGGTCAAGAGACTTAAGTACCAGTTAACAGTTCTGCAGCAGAAACTTGAGGGGTATGTTCAAATAGGCCAAATAGAGGTCAAATCATGGTCAACATTGCGAGTAATCTTTTAATATTGTTCTTTGGGGTTTATTTTTCAATTTTGAAGATGAAAACTTTGCCTTTCTTTTTCAAAGTTATAAAAACTATGGCTCAGGGCCAACCAAATACCCCCTGGCAGACATGTTGCAGTATGTGCTGGAGTTTGCCACCACGAAACCCACAAATGTGTCTCCAACGTCGCCAGTACCTGCAAACCCTCCCGTACACACAGAACCCAGCTCAGGTGACAGCAGGCAAGGCTCGCTTTCCTGTGTTCTTATTCATCAGTTGTGTGAGAAATCATGCCCTCTTCTGTGTTTGTCCTCCTCTAAATGTTTAATTTCTTGCTGTAGTCAGACAGAACCAGATGATGCTGGCTCATCAGATGGTTCGGGCTGCCCACAGACAGCCACACAGAGAACTCCCATACACAAGCCTTTTACTCAGTGCAGACACCCCATGGAGATGCCGCTGCAACCAGCCCCCCACAGCGTGACCGAGGAGGAGCTGTACTTCGTCAAGGGCTGCTTACAGCGCTGGAGAGCAGAAGTTGAGAACACCATAAACGGTAGATCCTTCACTTAGTGAATGTTGAATCAATGTTTTTTTTTAAAGCCTATAGTGAGCTGCCTTATTTTACAGTTTTTCTCAGTCGCTTTATTACATTTCTCGAATCAACATTTGTAAAACAGTAAGTGCATTTCTCAAAACAATTTCTACAAATAGCAAAACAGCAAAAGCCAGTCTCTTGCTCAAAATCATTAGTTCATCTCTCATGTCATTGCCATCAGAATGACAAGTCCTTGAGTCATTGTGTATGGAGAAGACAGTCAAATTGCTTAGTCATGTTGTCAATATAACAGTGCTATGGCTAAAGTTTTGATGACACTTATTGTAAATTGTAGGTTACATCTTAGTGTATGTGGGAGTTTGATTGCAAGAGACTGGACAAGATTCAGATTTATGCTTTTACTGTTTGTACTGTAATTTGTTGACAGACCATGTCATAACGATACAGAAAGGAAAAGATAGCACTGCATAGCACAAAGAAAAAAAAAACAGAAAAAACAAGAGTAGAAAAATATGAACAGGATAGTTGATTGTTTAACCATTTTGCATGTAAAGGCTTATGCTAATGCTAAACTAATGCCTAAATGTAGTGGGGGGTGAGACTATTCAACAGAGACCCATTATAATGCATTAATTGATAATGTAGGAAACAGCAGATAATTGTACATAATTCTGCATAGATGTACCAAAGAATGTAACATTTGCAACTTGTTCAAAGCAATGGGAAAGTGCTTTTTTAATGTGCAAAAGTGACACAATGATGTGAAGTTTGAACAGTTTGGAGAATTTCAATTTAGATCTGAGAAATGTACCAAAGCGACTGAGAAAAGCTGTAAGATGTCATAGGGGCCCTTTAGTTGCGATGCGTAGTTTCGTTTCACATCAGATTTGAATTTCTCATTGATTTAAGCCAATTGCATGTGTTTTGGCACAAGTCGTCCTGTTCATAAATGTTCATCTTTTTTTTTTAAATCTGAAAATTAATTTAGTACTGAATTGATATAAATGCTTTTAAATAATTAAAAACTGACTATTTTACCTAAAATTGACAACTATGTGCTTTATATATTTATCCTTTTATTATATCGTGTCGCCAGTATTGAAATCAATGAACTCTTGCATGCACTTTGCGTGCTGAGCGCTATTTGTTTGACACGGTTCTTGTTGCCAGTTTCCACAGAAGAAAACTGCCTTGCAGTAAGGCAACTTGGACCTGAGCTGTAATGTGCATTTGAATATTTTTGTTCTGAAGGCCATCATTATTCACAAGCAGTTATCCTAATGCGTTTGTGACAGTATCAGGATCCTGGCCTCAGGCGCAGTGTATTGATCTGTGTTCTCTCCCTGTGTGCAGAGCTGAAAGCCAGCATTGACAAGGTCAGCCAGGCCCTGGAGGGCATGTACTCAGATAACAGTCTGTGTCAGGTAAAGTCTATATCCTGAACACTCGTTGGTACTTTAATATTGACGGAGCCCTTTTCAAGAAATTTGCATGACACCTCAATGAACCCTGACTTCATATTTGATTCTTCCAGGTGCCCTACAGACTACACGCTGTGCTCGTCCATGAGGGACAGGCCTCCGCTGGCCATTATTGGGCGTACATCTATGACCATGCTCACAAACGCTGGCTGAAGTACAACGACGTAATGGTGACAGAGTCGACCTGGGAAGAGCTTGTTCGAGACTCGTACGGTGGCATGACCAACGCAAGCGCCTACTGCCTCATGTACATCAATGACAAGCTACCATACCTCATAGCAGGTACTTTCCCTAAATGTGCCTCTCAGATTACGCTTCTGCGCTCAGATTTTGCTGAAGCAAATCACTCACTTGATTTAAGGCATTGGCCTTAGCTCCGATTTCTTTCATAAATGAATGTTGATAGCTTTGTTGGCACACTTTGGGCATTAGGGAGTGTGTGCCAAGCTGTGAACATCAAAAACACTTCCTAATGGTTTTTATTTTGATTGATTTTCCTGATGTTTTCTGTGATAAATTGCTATGAATATTTATCTGATGTGGGGGTGAATATTTAAGGGCAGATTTACTGCTTGCAGGAATAACTAAATACACGCAATGAAAATTTGCACCGAAAAGGCGTGGACAAGGGTTATTTTTGCGGCTGACCTTATTGAATAGGCATTTGTAGGAGTTTCCCTTTCAGATGTAAAATTTATGGGAGGAGAGTATTTAAATGAATCATGCAAGTGATTTACTAGATTTGCACTTGTCAATTTATTGGTATCTGTCTTAAACCAGATGCTAATTTGCACTGCTCTTGGTAGATTGCGTTGGTCATTATGGAAATGATCCGGCCATTTTTATATATATATATATATATATATATATGAAGAGTTCAGATGCAAAAGCCTCTAAATGCCATTTGAAATTTTCTTCTTTAATGATGATTTTTATCAAACTTGTATATTTAAGTTCAGTAATTTCACTTAAATGGCAATGATAATTACCTATTAATTGTTATTTAAGTGAAATTACTGAACTTAAATATACAAGTTTGATAAGAATCATCATTAAAGATGAAAATATCAAATGGCATTTAGAGGCTTTTGCATCTGAACTCTTCATATATAAAAAGAAAAAACATTTAAAGTGGGAATAAAATGGATGTTGCAGTTGTATTTTCTTTACTATTGTGATGTATATCTGAGTGACATGACTCAAACAAGAAAAAATGAATTTTTGATTCTCAATTTTGATTTCATAATGACTAATTATAGACTGCATAATTCGTAAAATTCCTTATAAGGAAATTTTTGCCACAATAATGAACATTTTTTTTTCTTTCTAATGAATGACAGAAGACACAGATGTTGAGACAGGGCAGGTTCTGAAAGGAATGGACCCCCTGCCGGCTATCCTGAAGCGCTATGTTCGGGAGGATAACCGCTGGTTCCAGCAGGAGCTGAGAGAATGGGAAGAACAGTTCTGCCAAGCCCAACGTGAAGAAGCACAAGTTCAAACACACACTTCCACCAACACAGAGGAACATGTCCCAGAAGAGCCACAAAACCTAGTGCAGGAACCTGCCCAACAACAAACAAATGAAGTGTCTGAAGAACCACCTCCAGATTCAACACCAACACCTGCCAAGGAAAGTGAAGGTCAGATCCTTTTTTCTTCAAAAGGTCAGATGTTTTCCATGTGTCTGTTGCAGATGTAATTTCAACGTCTTTTCCCTTTCCAGAGCCAATGGCCAATGCCAATTCAGCAGCTCTCAGCTCCATGTCCTCAGAGCCCAGTGAGAATGTGGGAGAGGGAAGTGAAGAGGATGTCACCAGCATCCAGACACATGGCCAGCCAGATGAACAGAAGCCAGATCAGAGTCAAGTAAGGACGCTGAAGCGTTATTTGAGATGTGCAAAAAGTAGGTCACATATACAGCACTGGAGGTTTTATGTACAGTGCATACGGGTCACGATCCTCTTCCTCTACACATAATCTGCCATAGAATTGTAAAAACACTCAAATAATACATTTAACAAAATAATAAACATTTAAAATAAACAATTATTTACCATAAATTAAATTGCAAATTATACTTTTAGTTTTTACTTAAAAAAACATGTATTTTGCATGCATGTGAAATATACTTACAGCCATTTGCAGGTTACTTTATATTCTTTATATTCTTGTATTATCTCTCTCTCTCTCTCTCTTAAAGAGTTTTTACAGGTATGGTTATTTTAGTATATTTGTCAGGAATTTCAGTATAGGAAAGGTTTTTATACAATTTATTTTTTTAGTCAGAATAAGATTATATTATATATATATTTTGACAAATATGTGCATCACTATGTTATATTTTTTGATATACGGTTATATGGTGCGATTGTATGGGATGGAAGAGAAACTTGTAGATTTACATTGGTGGTTAAATCATTACAAACTTGTTTGCTTGTACTTGCCTAATGTTTCATGTTTTGTCTGTTGTGTCGCGAAGCTCTGGTATTTTGTAAGAGGATACGTTTTGGAAAGGGATGTGGGGATAAGGTTCATCGGACAGCTGAGAGCCGTCCAACATTCCTCAGTGTTTCTGGTTAAAGTCCCATGCCGGGGTGCTGGGGACAGTGTGTCAGAGAAGAGCTTTAAATAGAGCCTGAACTCTGTGCTTCCAGCATGCACCATCAAGATCAACTGGATTCCTACCTTTCCACAGTCATTAAATGATCCTGATGCTTCTTTCAACAGGCAATTGTTTAAGCGCTATGTGTTCTTGGAGTGTAGTCTTAGAGAGAGTAATCTTAGATATTATTGACACAGTATATGGGGTTAGAAAGTCGATTCTGTTTTTACAACTTATTCCTCTGCTGTTTCTCTCTTTGACTCGTTGATTTTATAGGTGCTCCTGTATTTACAACTGTGCTGATTTGTTTTCCTTGTCATAAATGGCAGTGATAGGACCTCTAGTGGTCAGTGTCTCATATTGCAGTCAATGGTATTTATTATCAAAATAAGGTGATTTACTTGAAGGGATTTTTCTACAACATACATTACATGTAGTCATACCACAAACATGACTATTTGAATATGTTTTGTTTTCCATAAATTTTGAATGTTTAAAACAAAACATACTCTGCAGCTTAATGACTTCAATGGTTATCAGATGAATTGCCTGTTTTAAACATCAATGTTATTTTAGTATCATTAATTTACTATTATAATTTTTGTTAATATTTTTGGTTTTCATGTTTAGTTTAGTCACTTTTATCAGTTTTATTTTTCTTTAACGGCTGGAGGGGGATTTTTTTCTTTATGGTTTTAGTTGAACAATTCAAGTACATAAACCCACATCTGGTTGTGCGTACAAAACTCTAGATGGCGCAAGCTGGTGGTATTTAGAGCGTTAACTACTTGGCACAAGCTGATTTGTTTATGTCACATTTGCAGCCAATGAGCTTGCTTGCTCAACTTTAAATGTCTAGTTACCATAGCAGTTTGCAGTGGCTTTCAGAGCTCGTCTAAAACAGCAGCAGTACTATGTCTTGCATACTCACAGCTGTGTATCGTCGTATGTATTGACAGCAGCAAGTTCCTGTAACGTTACTTGCTCTGCAGCAGCAATAATATACAACAACAGGAATAATCAACAGCAGCATAGCAGATCTGTTCCACCAAGACCAAATACATTTACATTGTCATATCCATTACCATGATTACCATGCTCAAAAATCTCCAGAGAGTTGTCATGATAGAAATAAAATACATTTCCTTGTCCAGCTCATCGTCATCTCCGCTAGACTCTTTAAAGATGACTGTCGGAGATTAGCATTTCCGCTGTTTTTAAAAGCAATTAGAAATTCTTGAGGGAGACCCTGGTGAATTACACTTCCTGGTTTGCCTACAAATTGATGTTATGAGTGAACATCTCTAGACTATGAGTGAATAAGATCATTGACAGTCATTTAACAGCTTCTTTCTCTGTGTTTTTCAGCAGCCTGTGGTGGATTCAGCCTCTAAAGAGAGGTCAGAGGTTGAGGTGGAGGAGCAGGTCGTCAGTGATGAGGCAGAACCAGACAGCCAGACAGAGCCAGAGGCCTCGTCCACAGAGGAGAACCCAGCTACGGCCACGCGCGGGCAGCCTGAGAATGAAGTTTCTGAGGTGGAGATACCCAATGTAGGCAGGATTCTGGTGCGCTCTGATGCAGATGGCTACAATGAAGAGGTAAAATATCACTACATTTTTCTGGTTCCATGAACTCTAAAATAAGGCTGCTTATAAATTAATATTAACATTCGATTTTTCTTTGTTCATCTGTAATGGAATAGATGATGCTAACACCAGCCATGCAGGGTGTCATTTTTGCCATTGCCAAGGCAAGACAAGTTTTTGACAAAGATGGACCTGAAGCAGGACTCATCAAGGTATACAAATTAAAATGTCTCAATGCAACTGTGACTGATCAAACCAAATCGCACTACATATATATATATATATATATATATATATATATATATATATATATATATATATATATATATATATATGAAGAGTTCAGATGCAAAAGCCTCTAAGTGCCATTTGAAATTTTCTTCTAGAATGATCATTTTTATCAACCTTCAACCTATCAACCAAGTTCAGTGATTTCACTTAAATGGCAATGATAATTACCTATTAATTGTTATTAAGTGAAATTACTGATTAGTTCATTAATCATTAAAGAAGATAATTTCAAATGGCATTTAGAGGCTTTTGCATCTGAACTTTATATATATATATATATATATATATATATATATATATATATATATATGAAGACTTCAGATGCAAAAGTCCATCTAAATTTATTTTTTTTACCCAAGTACCGGCATTTCTGAAAGGGCTGAGGCTGGGATTTAGTGAGTTTGAAGTCTTCAAAAGTATTTGATGAACATATATCATTATTTCATTTTTTTAAAAAGTCGCTTTTAGAGGCTTTTGCCTCGGAGGTCTTCATATATATAAATATATATATATATATATATATATACACTGTAAAAAATGATTGTGATTTTAACTGTAAAGTCTAAAAATGCTACAGTGCAAAACTTAATAATTAATTGGGCTTAATTACTTATTAAGAAGTTATTAAGACTTGGTCTTAACTTAAAACTTAAGACTTGATTGGTTAACAGAAAGTTTCTTGTGGAAGAATGCTTGTGATGACCTTTGATTTATCATGTGACATTAATTCTTCAAGGCTGGTAAATTAACATTATCAGATGATGTAAGTTAAGTCTGTAAAACCAATAACGTGGATACCGTATTTTTGACGGAAAAGTTCTGGTAACCACAGCTGCCATTTTTTTTTTCCATAAAAACAACAGGATTTTTTTTTATAGTGTATATATGGAAATCAACTAATGTATTGCTCTCATTGATCTCTCCATCAGGCGTTCCATGAAGAATATTCCAGATTGTATGAGCTGTCCCAGGAAGAGACCACACCCCAGCAAGACCATCGACTCCAGCATGTGCTAGTTTACTTTTTCCAAAACCAGGCCCCTAACCGTGTCATTGAGAGGACATTGCTGGAGCAGTTTGCGGACCGCAACCTGAGTTTTGATGATCGGTAGCTACACATTTTCTTTCAAATCAATGACTTAATGCAGTATATCTTTTTATTGAAATAAGTTAATATTGACTAATTGGACTAATCTAAACTGGTACTTTCTACTTGTAGGGCCATCGGTATCATGAGAGAGGCAAGATCTAAACTTCGTCTCATTAAACCAGAAGATATGGACATGGATGAGTACTTGGTAAGACTAATAAGGCTCACTTCTCTTTTTACGTCTTTAATTTAAAATGTTTACTGCTGTTTAAATTTTTTTTTAGTGAGGATGCATTAAATTGATCAAAAATTGCAGTAAAGACATTTATTATGTTACAAGATTTAATGCTGTTTTAATGAACTAAACTCAAAGAATATATTACGAATTTCACAAAAGCATTCAGCAGCACAACATTACTACCTTGATAATAATAAGAAATATTATATTAAGTAATGATGCTAAAAATTCAGCTTTGCCATCACATGAATAAAATACATTTTAAAATAATTTATTAAAATATCAATAACAATATTTCCATTTTTACTGTATTTTTGATCAAATAAAGCAGCCTTAGTGAGACTTCTTATAAAAACTAAAAACTGTATTTTCTTCCCTCTCCTCCCAGCAATGGCAGGATGACTACAGCATGTTCAAGACAGTGTTTGCCTACCTGTTGACAGGTCTCGAACAGTATCAGAATGGAAAGTATGTAGACTCATTGACACCAGAAACGGCCTGTGCGTTGTATTGAAGAGTCTATAAGTCTACAGCATTGATCTTTTCCATTGCAGGACAAGAGAAGCTCTGAATTATCTCGCACATGCACACCAGGACAACTCAGCCCTGCTTAGGAAAGGAGAGAAGAAAGGAGTGGATCAGTCGCTTATAGCACTTTACAGGAGAAAGTGTCTCAAAGTATGTCCACTTTAATAATCCAAAACATACACTACCATTCAAAAGTAGGTTAAGGTTTTTGTAACGTTTTTGAAAAGTCTCTCATAATCTCCACATTGGCTCCACATTGTATTTTAGTGGAAACCGTGATACATTTTTATCAGGATTCTTTGATCTTTTGTTTTTATTCTCACTTTTGATCAATTTAACACACATTTGCTTGCTGGATAAAAGTATTCAACACTGATCCCAAATGGTAGTGTACTATAAAGACATTTCATATACTTATAGACACAATTTATATCTGTCTTTATAACTAATTTCAAGTATTTAAGCACTTCTTTAGGCTCATGAGAAACTTTTGACTGGGACTGTATATTTTAATTAATCTTGTGTGAACGTGTTTCACCCTGCAGGAGCTGAATGAGAACGGAGCCACACTCTTTAAAAGTCAAGATGAAAATAACGTGGCGGAGGCAGTGACCATCATGAACGAGTGTGTCATCCCTTGCATGCACCTCATGGTCAGGGACAGTGTCAGCCAAGAGGATTTGGATGTCATAGAGCTGATCAGAAATTGCTGGTGCTCCTACCTGGGGCAGGACATGGATGGTGGGCTAACCCAGATTTTGTATATAGACCATTTTTAATAACATTCTTAGCTCATGTTGTTGTTCATATTTGTCTGTTATTCAGATTCTCTTCAGGATAAGCTCAGTGAATTCCTGCCTAGAGTCCTGGACTGTTCTGCAGAAATGGTGGTGCTGAAGGAGCCCCCCAAAGTGAGGAACTCCCCCCATGATCTGTGCAGCCGTCTGTCTGCCGTCATGGAGTCCATTCACAGCACCTCAGTCGTCATCGTGAAGTGAAGTGGGACATGACATTATGTGAGGCAAGGTTGAATAAAAAAATAGCACGGTACAGTCACAAAGTGATCTAACCTCTCTCTTAGACTGAGCTGGGTTTCATTTTTGCTGCACAATGACGCTTTCTGTTTCGCACGGCACACATATTCACTGCGTTCTGAATTCCTTGAAGGGAGATTGATTGGCTGCTCTTGGGCTTTGTAGACGTTTGATCTCAGGAAAGATCAAATAGATGACATTTTGTAAAGCTAGGTTTGATGAGAGGGTAGTGAAGTTAGTGTACGTTTTTACCTTGTTCTTCTTTTCACGTGAACTGTAGACATATAGCGTGAAAATAGGATTTTATAGAGATCTGCTGAAGCCACTTTATTTCAGTCTATGCTTAACATCCTCTTATGTATTCTTTCTTTGTACAGTAAAGTTGTCTGATTTTCCACTCCTTCGTCCTACCCCTCTGCTACGTTTCAATAAAATTTTTGATTTCTCACTTTGTTGCCCTGTCCTGAGTTTTCACTTTCTAGCTGTTGTTTTTCCACCTTCTGCTCTTATTTTCTATTTCTTCTAAGTTTCTTCTAATTTCTTCTTACAACATATTTAAGAGGTGCCATTAATACTACTGCAGCTTCATTGAGAATATTATTATTATATTATTGTAGGAAAACAAAGGCATGTGTTATGTATACGTAACGTAAAGGCTCTGTTACGTATGAAGAGTTCAGATGCAAAAGCCTCTAAGTGCCATTTGAAATGTTCTTCTTTAATGATGATTTATGTCAAGCTTGTATATTTAAGTTCAGTGATTTCACTTAAATGGCAATGGTAATTACCTATTAATTGTTATTTAAGTGAAATTACTGAACTTGAATATACAAGTTTGATAAAAATCATTAAAGAAGAAAATTTCAAATGGCATTTAGAGGCTTTTGCATCTGAACTCTTCGTATATTGTTAATATACTGTAGATTGTATAAATACTGTAGACTGTATATATTATGTACTGTATATATAGAGTGTATATATATGTAGACTGTAGAATCTACAGTTAATATACTGTAGATTGTTAATATACTGTAGACTGTATATATATATATAGACTTTGCATTTACTTAAAATGTGTTTTAAGATTGAATTGTACATTTTTATCAGCTGTGGTGTTTATTAAATATTCTCAAAAGAAGCGTACAAAACTAAGCACAAGCAATAATATTTCTCTCCCTTTATTAGAATTGTTCATCTACATTGAGGTTTTGGTATTGTTTTTCGTTAATTCTTTAATTGATTTCCTTGAGCAGTGTTTACTTATGTCTATACAAGACATGAAAATGGTGAGTGATTTGAACAAAATTACTGAGACATTTTTCTATGGCACAAAGTCAAATTACTTTTATATTGATTATCAACATCTTTTGATATCTCTTTCTTTCTTTTTTTTTATAAAATCAGATTTGTTACCTGACCTGTTTTTCCATCCAAAGTTGAACATACTGTGCTAGTAAACAGAGAAAGAGTGACAAAATAAGAGTTAATGAGGACAATTGTTTTTGTACATTGCATGCAATCTTCAATCTTTTGAAATACATCACCACAACATTTCCTCTTGTCTTATCCCTGGATTAATTTAGTGAATCAGACTTAATCTCCTGAGTTTAATTAGACTTTGAACATGGCCGTGATTGTGTTGATACAACAAAACGCTGCTCAGCACAGTGAACACATGGAAAGAGTATAGGCTAAGTAAGATAAGAAGCATTGGATCCAACTGGTTAAGCCTATATATCAAAAGCATTCCATTATACAATCTTATCAGGAATAGACTCGTCTATTACCCTATACAAAACATTAAGAACAGAAAATGAAAATGCTTTGTAAATGAATGGTACAGCACTATAAAAGAAAATAATTAAATGATTTATAATACTAATTTTGGTATTAACTAACTGTTAATGTTTGCATAATAGTGAATGAATATAGAACTAAAACTGGTTGATTGCATTTTAAAGCAAAAAGCCCTAAGAAGCCGTGGTTTACAGTGAATTTAGAACATATTAGGGGCGTTGAAATTCCCATTACTGTTCTAAATTCAATGTAGACCACGGCTCTACAGGGCTTGTTTCTTTTATCAAATTTTTAGATAAATACTAATTTTAATATTTATTTTAATCACATAGATGCAGTGGTGTAATTTACAACAGCTTCACACACTGTTCAAACAATCAGAATCAAGGACCGGTCCGGAACTATTTGTTTTATAATGGCTATTTTACTCCTTGGATAAGAATTCAGTTTTCAAAATCTTTGTTTGGGTGTAATACTTCTGTGAGTGTCAGGTGAAGATTTGAAAACATCTTTTGTCCTCAGGAAGAAGGTACATGCTGTCTCTGATGGTCTACACCACCATCTGTAATAGAATGACTGAAACCTCACAGAATCTCCTTGCATCCACCACTGTTTCTAACAGCGACGCACCTAGCCTACTTCTCCTTGATTCTTCAAATTCTCACAAACCTAAAGAAGGTGCAGGGCTATTCATTTGGTGGCCCGTCAATCATCTCCATACGCCCCAAGGGCACCCCATCCAGCGTTGCGACATCCAGTGAGAAGCGTTTCAATCAGACACTCCTCTCTGTTACAAACCACTCAATGATTTTAACTTGTTTAAATCGGATGAAACATACCTACTGATGAGGTAAATAGCAGAAACGTGAACAAAATTATAAGAATCATCTAATGACCACCCTTACTAACATTTACCATGAATGTAATAATTTACCATGGTTTGGGCAGAAATGTGGAATATTTATATTGAATACTAAGTTATTGTGAAGACATGACCAGAGGAAAGGCAGGAGACACTGCTGTAGTCAGTGAAATCTTTATTGACTTCCAAATAAAGAATAGCCTATCAAAAAAAAATAAAATAAAAAATAAATAACATAAACCTCACTCAAGGTGACCCTCTTCTCCAGAACTGCTTTCACAGACAAACAGGCTACATTCCTTTATACTGAAAAGGTCAACCATTTTACAGTAATAGGGGAATTAAAGAACGTTCACACACAAAACTCATAACTACACTTAAAATGAAAATAATATTCAAAATGCATCAACCTTAATTATACAAGGAAAATAATACAAATAATAAACCAATACATTTCTACATACAATGAACATATACACAATAAAACATGAAACAATAACCCCCCTGCTCCCATTGAGAAATGGACTATGCCTACACTACCCAGAATTCTTTGGGATGGTATAAAATGAGGAACAGGAAGCAACCCGTCCTCTTAACACCCACTTCTGGAAACCATGCTGCTGACATGAACCCAGAAGGTTAGTTGTGCAAATGAGGATAAAACTAATGATTTATGTAAATATCAAAATAAAAGAAATAAAGAAATAAATCTCTTGGTGTTTTTTATCAGTCTAATGTGCAGACTAGAAAAAGTCACCAAATAATGAGAAACAAACAAATGTAGGGCTGTCAAACGATTAATCGCGATTAATCGCATCCAAAATAAAAGTTTGTGTTTACATAATATGTGTGGGTGCACAGTGCAGGGGCGTAGCCAGAATTTTATTTTTGGGGGGTCCCGTCTTTAAATGAGGGGGCAACATTATTTATATATACTGTATATCAAGTTGATCTTTCCGTGCTTTTTTAAAAAAGTGTAATATTGTACTTTGAGTTTGAGCGCCTGCCATTGTCACGGCATATTAACGCTCACGCAAAGATGAAGATGACAGCGTAAGTTACGCGCAACACGTTATATAAACAAATCAAGTTTGAAAATAAGCTGCATTTTACCGCGCAGCATTTTGATTGGTCAATCTATCAATCCTAATAAAACAACTTTTTTTTTTTTTTTTTAAGCAATCAGAAATCTGAGGGGACCGGACATGTAAATGAGGGGGCCTAGGCCCACCCAGGCCCCCTCGTGGCTACGCCACTGGCACAGTGTATAATTATTTTAAATATATAAATACACACACATGGTTGTATATATTTAAGAAATATTTTCATGTATATGCTGTATATAGATTTATATATAATTTATATTATAACTAAATTTAAATATTTTATATAAATAATATTTTTTTCTTGAATATACATGCATGTGTGTGTATTTATATGTATACAAAATAATTATACACAGTGCACCCACATATATTATGTAAACACAAACTTTTATTTTGGATGCGATTAATCGCGATTAATCGTTTGACAGCCCTAATATAAAGCAAACAGACACAGGGCATACACTGCCATCAGGGGTAACTTAGGACTTTGTCACAGTAGTCATTTATATTGCATTAGATTAATTAGGGGGGTAGAGTAATATATAATTCATTGAGTGTATAGTTTTTACCTGTTTAGGCATTTTTTTTAGGCATTTTTTATGGTTAAGTCTCACTGTCAGGATATTTTAATTTAAGCCTATCATAATTATTAAGAAAATAATTCTTACCAATAGCCATGATATTGTATAATTCATATATTTGTAGCTGTAAATAAGTTATTTATTATGGTCTGCATCCTGCTGGGGACCACATTGCAAGTAAATGCAATACTTTTTTTGGTTTACTTTAGCTTACTTATTGATACTGTATGTTTAAATAAATAAGCTAAACCCACCAGCCCACCTCAACATTTCGATTTAATAATCTGGCCCTGGAATGAAACTAATTGAATAGCCCTGGGTTAAAGGGTTATTCCATTCAATCAACAGACAAACTATATTGTGATGAAAGCCAAGATATTACATGTCATAAACTATAAATAGTTATACACTATTTTTAATAGAGATTTGGAGCCAGGTCAGCAAAAAGACTTTAGAAATATTGCAGCATTATTGTTTTATATTTACACATAAATTGGTAGGTCTATAAGTAAAATAAATACATTGACATTCGCAATCTTTGTTGCATTACATGCTAATGGTGACAGTTCAAAAATGGTGGGGGGGACACAAGTGTTTTTTGCATCCCTGTAGCTCAAGAAGTATTAAAGGTCTGTTATTATGTTATTAAAGGGGCAGACTCAAGCCAAATTCACTCTGATGATGTCTTAATGTCTTTGTTATATCCCAGAAGGCAAGTTGGTCTTATGTGCTGCACACATACAGCAGTGTCACCAAATCCAGCAGTGTCACCAAAGGCAGCATTACAGGTTACCAAAATCTGTTCCTCCCTCTATTTCACACAAAATATGCTACCAAAATACACTCTGGGGATACTTAGACTTCATTATATTTTATATAACAAATTTGTATATTTTTGTATATTTGGGAAAGAATTAATACACTCTGGGGATACTTAGACTTCATTATATTTTATATAACAAATTCATATACTTTTTTAAATTTGGGCATTTTTGGTTTAAACTAAAAGTAAACTAAACACTCTGCATGTATAATTTAATAGGGCTTTTATAACATTAGGTGCTTTCCAAAAAGTTTTCAGAGAATTCACTTTCAGGCTGTAAACT